AGGAAAGTAGGCCACATTCAGGAAACCTAAGCCTCAGAGGGAGAAAGCATTTTCAGTGTGGTGAACAACAAACAAATGTATACTTTGCTCTAGAGGGAGACAACAGCCCTATCTTCCAAGACTCCATACTAGATAGTAAAAATAATATGCAGCAGCAACAACAACAAAAAATGAATTGTCTTACTACATAAAAAACAAGGGAAAACCATCATGTAAGTGATATTATAAAAATAATTATTGTCTAAGTGTTAGCAACTGCATATATTGTGCCAAGTGTTAAACATTTATTTTAATATTTAACTAGTATAAAACAAGCTGTAATATGAAAAACAGCTAGAGGAACCCAGCAACACATAAGCCAGGTATAGTGTCACATGCTTATAATCCAGCACTCAACAGGTAGAGGTAAGAGGAGTAGAAGTTCAAGATCAACCATGACTATCTATGTAGTGACTTCAAGGTCAACCTGGGACACATGAGACACTGTCTAAAAACAAAATGCTCACCATGAATAGAAGCTGTAATGATGGGGACATTACAGCCAGACACTTGGAAAGGCCTTTGGAATAAGAATGTGAACAGAAAGCATCTCCACAGGCCTCCTGAACTAAAGTAAATCAGTGAGTAAAGATTCATCTACTTACAGAGGTGAAGCCGACTTAAATATGCTAACACACTCAGATGGTGAAAGGGGGCTGTTTCCTCTAGACACTTCCTAAAAGAACAGAAGTCTTGAGACATGCTTCAGTCATGTTAGTCTTAATTACCAGGACTACCTAGAAAGCAACAACATCTGTGAGCATGGAACGTATGATCTCAAACTGAAAGTGATCAGAAATGTATGTACTTTTGTATGTGATGAGGTTTTCTAGCATGAATATGCATGTTTTCCTAATAAGATCTCCACGCCTCTTATTCATGGGAAGACACTGATTTGGGAATTATCTTGCTGCCAGTCCAGAAGCTGGGAAACTACCAGAGTGGAAAACATGTTAAGGTTCCTTCTGGACAAGAATCCTGAACAGTAAGGATTCCCTCTTAGCATCTGTTGAAATCATCTTATAAGCACTCATAAATATTGGCTTACATGTGTAATGGATTTCTTCTATAGCTAGGACTAAATTAACACAAAGAGACAAAACTTGAGTTAACACCCATCTTTGCTTTCAAGAATATCTGGAAAAGTCGTTGACTGCACACTTTACAGTAGACCAGAGGATCCCAGTAAAAATGTAGAAAAACAAGTTCTATCTATATATGATAACTTTTCAGATATTATGAAAATGCTTACTACTTAGAACATGGAGTGAAAATGAAAATAATGTAAGAATAATTCCAAGCCATGGTTTTCAAGATCAAGTTATAAGAAGATCAAGTCCATTCTCAGAGCCTTGATGTTTGTATTCACCTAATAGTAAATATATTCGTGCTTATTATGAGTGAAGTTTACTGCTTGTTGATGATGTTTCAGGTTAAGTAAATTCATAATTCCCTACTTTTACATATTATAGTATGTTATTATGACAATCTGCATATTCAATCCCAAATATTATAGCTAATGTAGTCACTCTGTAATTAATCTTTATGCTTTTGTTGTCTGATCAACAAAAGAAGTAATGGATCTCATAAAACCAAGCTTAAATGATAAAATAGAACAATATATAAAATGTTTATTCTGATGAAAACATTTAGTAGCTATCTTACCACAAGGGCACAAAAACAGCATCATGATTTTGTAAGATGCAATTCTCAGGTTATTTCAATCACTTGCTGTATTCTTCTTTATGACCCACATACCATACATTTTAAGATAAAGAACATGGTTTTCTGTCTAATTTGCATTACTCTTTTATTTTTTATCATCTTTTGTTGTTACTGGTTTTTACATTGCAGCCCATGTTAGCCTCAAACTTGTGGCCATCCTTCTGTCTCAAAAGATATCTGGGTCCTACTAACAAGAATCTTTATCATTACATTTGATCCATCTTCTAAGAAGATGAAAAACTCAGAGACAACTCTATGTCCTTCTGAGGAAACAGCTAATTACAATCCCTGTAGTTAGGGAAGGGCATATGTGGCATCTTTCTTAGTGGCTATGGCTGCTCTCCAATAAATTACTTCTGATCTCAGTGCCAAGTGTGGCCAGTGATTGTGCTGTGAGCCTGAATACTAGAAAGATAGATAGATGATGGATAGATAGATAGACTGATTGACTGATCGACAGACAGACAGATAGATAGAACAGACAGACAGATTGATAAAACCCATGATGGCTATTCCAATGACTGTTGTAAGGATTCAGACATTACACTGGCCTGCCCCTTTCACCTGGCAGAATGCACTCAGGCAGTACTCTGGTCAGCCCAGGGTTCCATGAGTACTAGTCTGCAGGCAGGTGTAAAGGACCCCTTTAAAAGTCAGACCCCTGCCCACTTATGCTCTCTTTTGCTTTCTCTTTTGTTTTCCACTTCTACTCTCTCCTCTTCTGTTCCTGGTGTCTATATGTCACTTCCCTTCCCCCTCACTCCCCTTTCTAAATAAACTCCTCATTCAAGCTCTACCTGCCTGGAGTGTTATTCCCTCTGCCTCAGTCACCCTCACCTGCTATGGAACCTGCTATGGTCCCTTACCTTGAGACCCCCATGCGGGACCATCACTCACCCCCTTTCTCCAGTTTCATTCCTATAACTGTAGCAAAAGAACAACAACTGTGCTGTGGCTAGGTGTAAAACCCAATTATAAAATCCTAGGATCCCATTCCCTGCTTAATCAATTAAAGTCATTTAAAAAACTGTATTATTCTCTATACCCCCAATTTTTCTTATTAACATTGCTACATTTTAAAGACAAGTATCTAATTATTGTTATTGCTGCTTAACTGTAGATCTGGGTAAGAAGCAATGAAAATTAAAAATACTGAAGATATAAATCAAGAATTGGCCACTACTAACTCCTTATTATACAGGCCTAGGGAATGGAAGGAATTTAAGGAAACTCTTCTGTCTGTTGTTTGGATACCCTCTTAGACTTTCAATAAAACAAAGCTTTCAAAAGAATAAATCAGCTCCAGTCATTTTCAGCTTGAGAAGCCTGTAAGACAAAAAAGTAGAAGCATCCAATACTTATAACATCAGGGCTGGAGATATCATCCTAATCCTTCATATCTGAAACCATGTCAGTAGAGGAAGTCCATGTACCTGTCCTGGCTACATGTTGAAGATTCGCCTACACAACAAATTGAAATCCTGACTCAAAATAAAGATAACTTATGAGTCCAGGGAAGTTGAAAAGGGAGACAAAGCCCCACAGAATCCTGAGTGATTCCCACATTTTAGGGAGTGGGAGTAGGGCTAGGAGACTGACAAAGGGACATGGTTAAATGCAAATTACAGGAGGTAAGAGTCTGGGGAGGTGAGTTCGTGGATAAAGCACTTGGCACACAAGAGTTTGTGGACAAGTGTTCAAAGCTCCAGAACCAAAGTAAAAGCCCAGAAGGTGTGGTAGCTTCCTGCTATCCCATCTCTCCCTGGGCAGAGAAAGGGTATTTCCCTACCTCCACCACACAAACTGACTAGCTAGATTAGCCAGGAAGCCAGGAGCTCTCGGTTCAGCAAAGAATCCTGACTCAACAAATAAAGCAGTGATCAAGGAAAACACCCACTGTCAACTTTGGTCTTCCATATACAGCCTTCACACACTGTGTGAGTATACACACAAACACATGCACATATGTATGGCCACAAACATGCATACATACACATACGTATACGTGTGTTTACCTGTACATGTATACATATATGTGTGTGTATATAATGCTACTTTGTATTAATTTTTTACAAAAGACCACAACAAAGCAAACTAAAAATGAAGATAGAGTCACTTGTCATCAAGCAGAAACTAAGCTGTTTATCTGACCTTTCAGAGAACTAAAGGATTACAGAGATAACAAAATTCCCAAAATAAGAAAATTCCTCTGTCTTAAACTTAACACACAAACACTTCTCTGGTGCTAACTAATCAGTTATTTACCTATTGATCTGTATTACTGCCCAAACCTTATAAGGATAAAGTACTTTGAAAGGAGCAATCTTCTTTTGCTCATTGCTTTTATTCTTCCATCCCTTTTCTTCCTATAAAATCAATATTATGCTCAGAAAATCAAAATGCTTATTCTATTTTATATGTTTAAATGTTGCCTAATTCAGAATTGAACATAAGGCCAACAGAGATGTTTAGATGCAGTGGCTCATACAGGTAGTCCTGATACTCAGGAGGATGGAGAGTTCAAGACCAGAATGGGTAACATACTAAGACTTGTCTCAAAACAAATCTGGCTGGCTGGCTGTGGCATTAATGTCTCTTCTAATAAATCTTTTATAACAAGGATAATGCATTTCAGTGTTCCCCCTTGAGCCTCCAGCTTTTCAGACATCAAGACTGAGAAAGCAGTGGAGATAAAAAAAATTATATATGTATGTATGTATGTATGTATGTATATATACACATACATATATGGGGTTTGGCAACGTTAAAATATTCCACCAGATTCAGAAAATAGGGGCTATCTCTACTCAAAAACTGGAATTTTCCCCATGATTGGGCTAGAAGAAGGTCAGCTTAGGAGGAGAGGACCCTAATACAAATTCTTCCACCTGTCACCCAACTTCTCCAGCAGTTTTATATCAGTAGATACTCCGGTGTATATTTTCTTCCCCAGCTCAGGAGGCGCATCTCCAAACATCTACTAAACTCAAAGAGTTGACCATGCTTCGCACGGTTCTCCAGAAAAACTAAAACATTTCAAGTTCTCTGGCTTTGCATCTGTTTCAAAACAGCAGGATTCAGACCATCAATGCTAAAGGAGGACTCACCCTCACCTGCCGCTTGTGAGGAATAAAAACTACAACTCCCATGAGAAAGTGGGGCCGCGTAATCCACAACTCCCAGCATCCTCTCGGAGGCCCTAGCCTCTCAGGCTAGTAGGTGGAGTGAGATTGTAAATGTCTGCGGAAGCTGTAGAGAAACGTTCCTCTGGGATAGCAGAAGCTGAGGAGGAATCTGCGGCCCTGGTAGAACAAGATGTAGCGCGCGGCCTGGAGAACTTTCCCGTGAGAGTGTGGCCTCTGAGGGCGGGGCCCAGGCCTAAGCCCTTCCAGGTGGAGGCGGGACTAGGGAGGCGGGGCCAGTGCTTTTTTCCATGTGGGGGCGGAGCTAGATCGGCTTCTATCTCCTCCTGCCCCCCTCTCCCCCCCCCCCCAGGCTGGGCTCTTCATCCAGGGGCTGGGCTGCAGAGTGCTGAGAGTTCATTGCCCTACAGGGGTTGACTAGAGGGCTGCTTTTAGTTCCCCTAGTCTGAGCCTGCGACTTCCAGGTAGGGGCGGAGAAGAGCCTTCCCCCCCCCCCCGGGGAGGAACTAGAGAGCTGCTCAGATCCGATAAAGGGCTGCTCACAATCTCTGTGCCTGGGCTGATCTCTTCCTTGTTGGGCTGGAGTTCAGGGCTGCACACAACCCAAGGGGGCGCTAGGGCACCTTTCCTAGGAGCCGAGAAAGGTAGACGAATAGCTCCCCCACGTGGTAATAGTTGTCAGGCTGGCTGCAGCCACAGGCTTTCTTTTTTTTTTTTTTTTTTTTTTTCTTTTTCCTAATATTTTGTTTTTTAAGTATTAACAGCATATGCAGGGTATTTGGTTTTATTATGGCGTTTAAAAAATGTTCATTCACAAATATTAATTATACATAATAGTGAGTTTCACCATTTCACCATGACATTTTCACACCAGCACATGTGTTTTGATTATATGCACCACCACACACTCCTTTCGTCCTTCTCCCACCCCTAGTAATCCTTCATCTTCCTGGCTAGAGCCCCCTTCAACTTTGTGTGTGTGTGTGTGTGTGTGTGTGTGTTCATCTTCCTGGCTAGTGCCCCCTTCAACTTTGTGTGTGTGTGTGTGTTCATCTTCCTGGCTAGTGCCCCCTTCAACTGTGTGTGTGTGTGTGTGTGTGTGTGTGTGTGTGTGTGTGTGTGTGTGTTCATCTTCCTGGCTAGTGCCCCCTTCAACTTTGTGTGTGTGTGTGTGTGTGTGTGTGTGTGTGTGTGTGTTCATCTTCCTGGCTAGTGCCCCCTTCAACTTTGTGTGTGTGTGTGTGTGAGAGAGAGAGAGAGAGAGATACAGAGAGACCCAATGAATTTCATCAAGGTTGTTTACTGAAACTGCAGTCCTCTTAACCTTTTTGTTTGGTATTTACTTATTCTTTGAGAATACCATACTATATAAGTTGCTCTTACAACCTCCCCCCCCAGATCCTTGCCCATCTACCTCCATGACTACCCAATTTCATGTTCATTCTCTCTCTTGGAAAAAAAAAAAAAAAAAAAAAAAAACCAAGCCAGTGGTCTGAAGGGAAGTTTCTTAAATTAACAGAATTTAGTATTTTTCTATGACCTTAACAAGGATTTTGCCTTAGTCTTCTTGTGAAATGGCAGCTCCCTATAATGTGTGTGGCGGAGGGGTGACTTTTCAGAAAGACCATTTTCTCTGGTCTTGTACTCAGAACTTATTAGGTATCAGAGCAAATCAGTTCCCTGTTTGGGCTCAACTGTCTCTCATGTAAGAATACCTGGCTATGAATCTCAGCCCTTAGAGACTTAGCTGAGGTCTCCTTCATGCTGAGAGGTCTTGGGCAAATGTAAATTTCCTTCTGAAAAGCCTTGGAAGCCTTCTGTGTTGAGTTTAAGTAATGGTACTTCACTATACAGCTGCCTTGGGGATTAATGTTTCTAGTTCTCTGTGAGAACTCAATGAATGTCCACTACTGTTACTGCCTCAAAGCCCTTGCTCTAACCTCCAACCCCTCTGACTGTGGCCTAAAAGTTGCCTACAAGGATTCTGGTGAAAGAACTTTGCCCTTGGATGTTGGACTTAGATGATGGTTTAGTCATTTTAGTTACTCCATAAAACCTGAGCTTTTTGTTTTCAAAGGGAAAATAATTCAAAATAGTATACCTTTTCCCCATCTATTATCTGTACAAATTGAGGCTGCCTCTTCCCTCCTTTTAGGGTTTTTGTGAGCAGCAATTGGAGCAATAACTTCTATAGCAGATTTCAAAAGGCAAAACAAGATTTGAATGTGAGAAATAGTTACTTTCCTCCCAAATTATGATTTGTGGCCAGTAATATATGTCTGCATTTACACTGACAGTTTGTTGTTAATAACACAAGTAAATAACACTATATGTGCCAATGAGCCCTTAAAATTTGTTCAAGATAAAAAAAAATAATAGAATGTCTGGTAAGAACACCTCTATGTTTTTCTTTATTCATCAAACCATTGAGTGCCTGCCATATGTCAGGCTCTGTATTAGGTGAGGCCTAAAAGATAACTTCATTTGAAGAAGATAGCATTTGGTTGTTTTTTATTTTAACCTAGAAGTATCTAATATGAAAGAAAAAATACTCCATTCTTAAGTAACTTCAATAAATAGTCATTAAGAACTAAATGTATACCCAGTGATTTGTTAGGATTCAGAGAACAGAAGAATCCTTAACCTCAAAGCACTAACAGTGGAATGATCCTACAATTGATTTTAACAGTTTGTACCACTGAATGAAGTGTGTGTGTGTGTGTGTGTGTGTGTGTGTGTGCATGCACACATGCACGTGTGTGTTTATGTGTATGTGTGTGTGTGTATTGTGAACTCTGCAATTAAGTTTCCAGTCAAATTATATTTCTCTTTGCCATCTTCTCTAATAACAATCTTTAAAACAGTTGGAATAATGTAATTCTTTGTTAGCCTACTTTATTTTATATTCAAACATAACTAAGAATAACTTAATTAGGAAAGCAATTGTCTGTAATCTCACCACCCTGGAGGTTAAAAGCAAGAGAACCATGTAGTGATACATTATTTATGATTTATTAAAGTTTGACTGAGGATTCAGAAAAGCAAAGTCAGCCTCAAGCTACAGTGATCAGGCAGTGATGATACACGCCTTTAATCCCAGCAGCCAGAAGCTAGGAGGTGGTGCTATACATCTTTAATCCCAGGACTCAGGATTAAGAGGTAGATAGATCTCTGTGAGTCCAGGGCCACCCAGATCTATACAAGAGTGAATCAGTCTAAAAGAAACATTAGGGAAGTATGTAAGACAGGAGCAAGTAGTCAGTAGAAGGCATTCAGTCTCCAGCCACTATGAGGAGAGGATATAGTCTGAGGCTTGGTGAGAGCTTGTGGGAGACAGGATCAGCCCATTCAGCTGATAAGAAACTAGTATCCAGCTGCTTTGCTTTTCTGATATTAAGCTTGAAGTTCGAACCCCAATATGAGTCTGGGTCTTTTATTTATTTCTGTTACATAACCATACATGTAAGGGCCTTCCTAGGCTACATAGCAAGGCCCTGTCTCCAAAAAAATGTTGCTAGGAATGTAGCTCAGTGACAGAATGCTTTGTGCTCAAGTTCCTGGGTTTGATTCCCTGAACCATCAAAAGTTAAAAGGTTTTATATAAGTATCTCCTCTAGAATCCTCATAGTCATTAGTGTCCATAAACTCAGGGGTTTGATGTTCTAATCATAGTTTTAAAATTAAAATAAGTACCTGTCTATTTTTAAAAGGAAGTCGGAGGAGAGAAGTCATATGATTGATCCTTAGACCAACCATTGAAAGCGTACATGAAAGTCAGGAGAAAGAAACTGTTGTAAAAGGATATTCCTAGTGTCACAAAATCAGATACTGAACAAAGTAGAAGTAACTCAGCCAGGCAATCAGGCAACTTTACTGTTGCAGAAGAGTGCACAGTGGCCCATACCAGCTGTGCAAGCACATGGGGGAGGGGCGTTACTTAACCTGTGTCTCATGCCATTGGTAACAGCTCAACCTCACAATCTGACATGATTGGCTAGTTAATCATGGGCAAGGAAAGGTTGCAATGGAGAGTTGAGTTTTCAAGAAAGTCTACCATCCAGGGTTTGGCAAATAGGCAAATTCACAAGATGGAGGAGTTTTTAGAATATTAGTCTTTTGGGAGGCACTCTTGACAGCATAAGACCTCACAGTTTCCCAGGTTGTCTAGTGGTACTAGTGGTGTAGGATGTACATGTTATGGATCCTAGGGATGCAGGGCAGAATTCTGCATGTGCTATGGAAATGCTTCACCACTGACTTCCACTCCATCTCACCTTCAGCTAGTTTTCGTCTATGTGTTCCACATACATTAAAGGAATCTTACCAAAAAAAAAAAAAAATCTAAATAATCTAAATAGCTTACTTGCCAAAAGGCCTGGCTTCACGGGTCCACACAACCATTAAGGCATGAAAACTCACAGTAAAAATAACTTTATGTCTGCTTTGCTTTGGGGTGCTGTGGAAAGAAAAAAGGGAACATTGAAATATTCACATTAGAAGCCAGCATATCATAACGACCTCAGGGTTGAAAGCCAAGGAGAAAATAAACTAATTGGCTTTCTCCAGCTAAGTTAGGTTTAATCATTTGTCAGGTCCCTCAGATCAACTTCAAACGTTATTTTTAAGATCTCAATTGCGCCTTGACCAGAATTATCTGGCTCACGGTCTCCTAATAGCTGTCAGAAGCAAAAACAAACCGATGACGCTGGAGGCCAAGTCCAAGGATTCTTGTAGCTGGGTTTCAACACGACCAAAAAAGGAAGGAAGGTTTTCACAGTGCTTCTTTAGGTATTCCTTGGGATTCAGAAAACTTCCTTAAGGGTCATGCTCTTGTTTAAAACCCTAGTATTATACAAACTTAGACTTGAGTTTCTGGGGCTTTGATACAGAATGCTAATCAGAATGGTCCCAACTTGCAATTGAAGGTTGACAAGGACTGCAGTGAAGCTGTCAGAACAAACTGGGTGTCTGCTGGTGTCTGCTGTGTGTCTAGAACTACAGATGAGAAGGACACTTCAGGGCACACCCTAGAACTCATACCTTTCCTTTGGACACGTGGGTTTGACAGATGACACCTACCCGTTTAACACAATTCAACATTCAGGTCAGTTCATGCTGGCTTAGTTCAGAGAAGGAAGAAATCATCATGAACAAGAGGAGCCGAGATGTCTATTTATTTTTTAACATGCTATATGCTGCTTCTATTCTGGCTTCCTGGATAATTATTATTTATAATTTTTTC